GTTGACTTGGCCTCCAAATTCCTTAGATCTCAATCCAATCGAGCATTTGTGGGATGTGCTGGACAAGTCCGATCCATGGAGGACCCACTTCGCAACTTACAGGACTTAAAGGTTCTGCTGCTAATTTCTTGTTGCCAAATACCACAGCACACCTTCAGAGGTCTTCTGGAGTCCATGCCTCGATGGGTCAGAGCTGTTTTGGCGGCACAAGGGGGACCTACACAATATTAGGCAGGTGGTTTTAATGTTATGGCTGATCAATGTATGGTAATTAGCCACTTTAAAAGGAACACTTTTACACCTGCTCATTCATGCAATTGTCCAGTCGCCAATTATGTGGCAGCAGCACCAAACATAAAATCATGTAGATACAGGTCATGAGCTTAATGTTCACACCAAACATCAGAAATGGGAAAAGTGTGATCTCAGTGACTTTTCATGGTTGTTGGTGCCAAATGGGCTGGTTTTGAGTATTTTAGAAACAACTGATCTTCTGAGATTTTCACAAATAACAGTCTCTTGAGTTTACACAGAATGGTATGAAAAACAAAACATCCAATGAGCAGCAGGTCTGCAGATGTAAACACCTTGTTGATGAGAGAGGTCAGAGGAAAATGGCCAGGCTGGTTTGAGCTGACAGAAAGTCTACAGTAACTCAAATAACCACACTTTACAATTGCCACGAGCAGAAAAGCATCTCAGAATACACAACACATCAAACCTTGAGGTGGATGGGCTACAACAGCAGAAGACCACATCAGGTTCTACTCATGTCAGCTGAGAACAGGAATCTGAGGCTACAGTCAGCAAAAGCTCACCGAAACTGGAAAGCTGAAGATAGGAAAAACATTGCATGGTCTTTTTCAACTCTCATTGACTCTCACTAATTATTCCGATCAGCTTTTTACTTTTACTATAATGATTTATGTTGTTGCTCAGTTGTTTGGACTGGATGGGTTCCCTTCATTTTCTTTGTTATTTCATCTCATCAAACGATGTTTCCTTGTTGCCCCTGACTTGCTCATTAGAGATTGCTAAGACTGATTTGTCAAGCTGCTTCAACATCTATTATATTTATTTGAATAAATGATTCTAAAAATGGACACAATACCAGAATATCTTTCCTTTGATATGTTATTTTCCGATGTTTTTAGATGATTAGTTACTCACATTTAATACAATTTAAACATGGTTGGGATTTATGACATTATGTTAGTTGAACCTGATAATCACATGTCAACACTGAGCATAAACACTTTTGCTGACTGTTGGAGTTGAGAGCAAATAGCCGAAGTCTTCAAAGCGAGCGAGTACCCATAGTGTCTGTTTGGACTGAGGACTGAAAGGCCTGAAGCCGCTGACTTGGGTTGATGTCATAAAAACAATGTTTGTAGAAGGATCTTCTGTTTAATGCATAGACCAAGCAAAGAGAAGAGCACTTGTTTGGGTGCTTGACTGTAAATCTAAGCATTTCAATGTTCAATCGTTGCTTCAAAAGACTAAAGTAACCAGTGATTTGTGTTAGTATAAAGTCCTCTGACTAACAATTTGGTATTTGGCAAAAATTCCATAAAGCTTAGATTACCTTTATGATCCATTACACTTTTTCCTAATAATGTTGTTGTTAAGCATACAGACGCTAGTGTTATTCAAGACAAACAGTACAGGTTTTTGATGTATAAGCAGCTTAATAAAGAGCAAATGATAGATGATCATACCTGGCATTTTTTAAAATGGAAGGGACATTATTGCTTTTGGAGAGCTGATATGTAAGTGCTACCGCCCTATTACACACCGTATGAAAAGAACATGAAATTTTATGCAAAAGAATGGGTTATGTTGACATTTGTCTGCCATACACAGAGACACCCCAGGCCTCAATTGTATTTTCATGAAAGCTATCTAACATTTCAGGGCTATTTGCTTGAGTTTGTTCTTGTAAGGTCCATATCTCATCTTTTATGACTAGCGATAAGGCAGGTGGCCTGGTCTGTGCGCTGTGGTGGCGATATCAACTACAATAAAGCCATAACTCAGCGTTCCCATTACAGCCACATTGCCCACCAGTCATCACACCTGCTGTTCTCCTCTTTTACATCAGCTGCGTTGTGCACTTTATGGCCCTCCCGCTCTCACTCCAGTGAAAGATGATGAGGGGGTTAACACTCTGTGATGGTGTGTTCTGTAGGCCAGTGTTGACACACTGCTCTATGGCAATTATCTATAAGAGCCATATCAGACCCCATGTAAGGTTTTAGATCATCAGAGTCCTAATTATTAGTAGCATAGAGAATGGGACTCCTATCACACCCTTGAGGAACCACACTTTTAAACTTGAGGAAGTTTGTTATTTCCTATAATAAAATGAAAAAGAAAAAAATCACAGGCCCCCTGGCTATGCTTCATTGTCCACTTTGAGAACCACTGCCTGGATGGTTATGGGTTCTTAGTTTCCTAAAAGGGTTCTACTCTGTTGTAGAATTTGGCTCTCAGAAAAAAGTATAAAACTATACTGGTGCACATCAATGGGGTCGCACCCTCATGCTCTAGGTGTGTATTTTTCACTTGGGAAAGTGAATGTAATATACATACTCATTTAATGTACATAATTAGAAATCTGCTGTACCCTAAATAAGTTTTAAAGATATGTTACATTCAATTCCTGATACATACTAAAAGTATGAGGGTCTCATGTGACGTAATAAAATTAAGAGGGCTGGTTCAGTTAGGGCTCAGACTGGACACTGAGACTGGACACTGGTGGTAGAGGGGAGAGTACCGGCCAAGTTCTCAGCCATCATGAGTAACAATTCTTTCCAGATGCCTCTTTCTGCATCAGACTACACAACAACATCATTAGTTCATCCACCTGACATTAATACTTAGACTAATCTACTTCCTCAATATGAACTGTCCCTGCAATGCTTTTTTTTTCAATACTTTGCAAACATTTTTAATAACACTATTCATATAACTCTTCACTAATAGTAACTCAGGTACTACTGTAAATAAGTACATATGTAAATCTTATCTTGCTTATAAATTTGTTCTTCTGTTTTTTTTTTTTTTTTTACTTTTGTTGTCTTGTATTACTTGTATGCCACTGTAAAACATAAATTTCCCCCTTGGATTAATAAAGTCTTATCTTATCTCATCTTATCTTATCCTGGTGACAAGCCATATTAGAGTTTAGTACCTTTTTCTCTGTAATGTGTAGCAGACAGACCTCTTTAGGGTTCTAAATTTATTCTTTCATTCTCAGAGTGCACAGCATTACACTGTTTAATATTTACATGCTTATTTAAATACATCTCTCCCATCAGTTCTTTTATCAGCATCACTGCCAATGTCTGCTGGGCTTTGCAAAGACATCACACGTCAACATCTGGTTGCTTTTCAGTTTCCAGACTCATAAGCAAATTTCAAAAGGTCAGGATATCCCAAGGAAAAAAAAGTCACAGTTTTAGCAAACTGAAATTCATATAAATTTGAATTAGCACAATGGATGTATTTCACTCTATGAAAAAAGGCACTGACCTGAACCCTTCCCTGTACTCTCATGTGTACATTGTTTCAATATTTATAATCTTTAGTTTGTATCATATCTGAGAATTGTGTATGCTGCCTTCAAAGATTATTTAAAGTACATAATTAGCCATTAATGACTGTACATTTAATGAGTTTTTAAAATAAAGCTTTAAAGCTACACTACATGCATCATCCTAAGGTTACGCTGCTCAAAAATCTAGCTTGTCTGATCAACTATCAGGTACCAAAACACATGCCGAGCTGGTACTGAAACCAATCCCAAATACTACACTGCAGACCAGTGATGTTTTAAGATAATAACAAAACAGTAAGCCAATTAGGAATTCTCAAATATTTATTGATCAGTTTAGTCGAGTAACAAGGAAGCTGGAAAATAATTTACCAGCTGGTAATGTTGGTGTACTAGCTTGACCAGCTCAGCCTGTGTTTTGGCAGCTGGTCAGATCAAGCTGGATTTTCCAGCAGGAAGATGTAATCCTGAGGGCACCGCTCAGTGACAAAAGGTATAGTTTAGTACCTATTTTTTTCCTGAAAGTATGGGAGTTCAAATTAATTTGTAATTAAATTGTCAGAAAAGGCACAAGCCTCAGTGTCTTCTCTAACCTGAACCATCTTTCCATTCTTCAATCGTGTGAATTGCTATGAATTTGCAAGTGTGAGACCTTGTTAAGTTCCAATACCACCATTTAGTACTAATACACTTTTGTTTGTTGCATTCTGCTGCCCCCTGGTGGTAACAAGACCTTTACTGAGGGATTAATATGGGCTGCTGTTTAGATGAAGTTCAGAACAAAGACTTAATGTAGTGTAGTGAATAAACACATTAATGCAGCTATACCAGCACTGGGTGTGCACAATTGATCATTTTACACATTTTAACATTCTGCAGTGAAAGACTGAGGAACATTAATATCAGCTGGAAAATGCTAGCTCCGCTGCTAATGTTTTGTTTGAAACTATGTAATCCCTGAACATTATGACAAACCTCCTGTCCCCAAAACACCCAGTCTGACTAACTACTTCTGAAAAGTGAATTTCTAATGGATTGCACTCTTAGCTTTAGCTTCATTTCCACAATGTAGCCTATAACTAAGCTTAACATCACTGTTTTAGCCTGAGTTCATTTGCTCAAACATGCTAAATGCATTAGGAGGACCACAAATGTGGAAAAATTCACTTCCTGTGAGTGGACATTCAGACAAGAGAATACAGAAATGTAAAGAACAGTAACACTTACCGTTTCATCACTACATGTGCTTTCAGTCTTAACACCAGTACAAACAGCAAAGATAGCCTCTTATCGATGATTAACACAAATCAATTACAATTTGATGGTTTTCCCAGAACAATTAGTTTAACTGAAGCTAGATAAAAAAGCTTTAAAAACTTTGGGCCGTATCGGGCTTTACTCTTTTTATTTTTAAAAGAAAAAGTTGGCAATTAAGGGAGGCGGGGCCACGGTGGCTTAGTGGTTAGCGCGCTTGCCTCGCACCTCTAGGGTCAGGGGTTCGAATCCCCCCCCCCCCCCCCCCCCCCCCCCCCCCCCCCCCCCCCCCACAAGCCTGTGTAGGATAAGCAGCACAGATGGATGTATAGTTAAGTGTTTGTAGCTTCCTAAAAGGGTTCAATTTGAAACTTCTCTCCTGAAAGATTGTAGGGTTCTACATAAATTTCTAAGAAAGAACCGTTAAGGGTTCTACATTTTCTAAGAGTGTACATTTAAATGACATGAGTAATTTATTAAAAGTATAAAATTATTTTTTAATACAATCAAGCAATTTTTCATCTGCCCAACAATGCTCCTCTGAGCTCTATTAAAAATAAAAGTAGAAAGTAAAAGTAAGAAACTCAGTGCTTATTGTGTATAGTACTTATTCTTTAATGATTTTGAGGAAGTGACATCATTTTCCTGGGAGGAATTCGACTGTAAAGAGCAAGTAAGTTCTTTGTACTATTTATAATATTTTTGTATTGTGTGTAACCACTGCTAACAATCATAAACATCCACCCCTTTGTCACCCTGTTGTCAACATCCACCCTGTCTGGCAAGTGCAGGTTTCTGATTTTAGCAAACAGACCAAAGGTCTAGGCAATACTCAGAAATATGAGTTGTGCAAATGGTCAGCAAACAAGGATAGACAAGACTGAATTAGCAAACATGAAGCAGGTTATGATCAAACACTAGACAGGCAGATAACACAGGCTTGGACTCATCACAGACACAATATGCTGGAGCAAGATTTCTAACACTCAGAGTTCCGATTATTTAAAGGGAATGCAACTGCAAACACATGAGTGTCATTAGTAATCAGGTGATTTGAGCAGCTTACCAGGAGGAGCTTGCCAGAGGTCATGTGATGACGTTGTGGACTGAAGATCACGGGAGATGTACTGTTCAACTTCAGGATTCCTAATTAGATCAAGTATGGCAGCCATAATAGTAGGCTATATACCAGGGGTCGTATTCACAAAGGGCTCCAATTTGGCTGTAATGAAAGCCTGAGCCACACTGGTCCACTGCCGGTAAAACTGAAGACCCCTGCTATACTCTAGTCTTATACATAAAATATGGGT